TGGGGGGGGGGGGGGGGGCGGAGGGCTGTTGTAATTGTCTCATTACCTCTGGAACCCTCCACCATAGGAGCAGGAGTCCCAGCTCCGAAGCACAGTCACGTGGTTGCTGAACTGCGACCTGACCAAACTGCACCCCCTGGGGTGGCCCAGGTGCCCCTAGCCTAATGCATGCTGTTGCTGCTGGCCTTGGAGAGTGCCTGTGCCAACGTGGACATGTGCCAGGCCGCCCTGGGCACCTGGTCACCATGGCCACCCTGAATTCCCAGCACTACATGGTAGGCTACGAGAAGTTCTTCGGGCTCCACCTGGAGGAGATGGTGGAGAAAGCCGTGCAGGAGGCCGGCTGCCTGGTGCTGAGGTGTGATCACTGCCCCGTCAGCTACTCCAAGGCCTGCTCCATCAATGAGGGCATCTGCTTTGTGGTGGCCCATAAGGGCCCTGGCATCTGAGGCCAGCCTGGAGGAGGAGGGCCTGCCACAGAGGGGAAGTCATGATCAGCATTTCCAGAGTCTTACTCTGCAGCCCCCCGAAAATTAGGCTGAGCCTCAGCTCTGCCCCTTTACTCCTATCAGCTGGTCCCTAAGTCACAGGTGAAAAGCAAGGGTCCCCCTGCACCAGTCCAGGCATCCGTCCCACACACCTTTCTTGTTCGCCTGCACCAAAGGTCATAAAATAAAGGGGCTTGGCTGGATACTATCTGGGTGTGGCTTCCCCAGAAGCAGACCTGGGACAAGGATTTGAGTGCACATAGTTTACTGGGGAGGTATCCCAGGAAGCACCGCTAGGGATGTGGGAAAGAAGGCAGAGAAGGGAACAGCCAGTGTGGGGGGCATCAGCAAGCCCAACCGCTGTGGGCAGCTGGGTCTCAGTCGTGCTAAAGGCCCCTGAGGGCCGCTGTAGAGCACATGCCTGGGAGGCAGCACATCCAAGGGAGCAGAGCCTCTGTCACCAAGTCTCCTGTCATGTCAAGGGCTGCTCCTGAGGGGCATTCATTCTCCAGCAGTGTCAGCCTGCCTGTACTTGGGCAGTGTGGCCCAAGAGAATGCTCAGGCAAAGATTCGCAGGGGACTGGCCGTTGGGGAGGAGCACATGCAACAGACAGTGGGACAGCAGTATCCCATTGTTTGGCCTGAGGGACTGGTTCTGCTCAGCCCAGTCCTTCTGCTGTGGGAACGGAGGAATGGGACCTCAGGTTGTAAGAGCAAGATGATTTTAGGCCAAGCTCCTGTTCTCCCTCATAGGGGAAAGCCGAGGTTTGGAAGGGGAGGTGACTGGCCAGCGTTGGAGCTTGGACTTCTGCCCAGGTTACAATAGACAGGACTGTGATGGAGCCTCAGTGGGCAGGTAAGGGAGCCAGGTGGCTCCATCCATATGGCCAAGAATATGGGCTCTCTGGCCTCTNAAGGGGAGGTGACTGGCCAGCGTTGGAGCTTGGACTTCTGCCCAGGTTACAATAGACAGGACTGTGATGGAGCCTCAGTGGGCAGGTAAGGGAGCCAGGTGGCTCCATCCATATGGCCAAGAATATGGGCTCTCTGGCCTCTGGGAAGGCCTAGGATCATGTCCCCAGGAGGACCTTGCCAAGGTTGTACATCTCAGGACACCCTCTTACTCACACAGCCGGCTCCATTTGAGCCAGCCCCCAGTGCTGGGCTCCCCTATTCTCTCTGAGATTTCGGAGGGGTGTCAGCATGCCTCCACCCAAGCCTGGCCCACATGAAGCCCCCTACAGCTCTCAGAACTGTGGCGTGGGCCCCTCCCTGGTCTTTCAGCCTCCTGTGTGCCAGTGCCAGTCCGTCCTCTACACAGCAGCCTCCCAAAGCAAATGCACCCATGTCTCTACACTGCTTGAAACCTTGGCCCTTGGGATAATGTCCCAGCACAGTAAGGGCCCACGAGGCCCTCCACGGCCTGACTGCTATCTCTCATCATACAGACACCATGCAGGGCTCCCTGAGCCAGTC